GAAAACTTTCTAGCGTAGACCTAACTGCTAGAGACTAATCCACTAGACTTCACTAATGAAAAAGGGGTGAAAACTGTATACGAGAATGGCAATGAAAATTGAGAATGATACGACTCACTTAGATCCTCCACGTTCCTTGTCCGCAGTAGCCAGGAGATTGACTTGCCAAAGGAGGGTTCCGTGAAGGCCTGGGTCGCAGTTCGTTAAGCTGCACTCGGGAGAGCTGAGAGGTATCTCGTTCGTAAGTGACCGTTAGGTGCTCCTGAGCCTGGGAATGATCACCAGAGAATGGTTTCGCTGAAGGGCGAAGAAAACAGCGGCCGGTGAGGTGGAAATATCTGGAGAAGTGCAGTGGTGTAAGCAGAGTGTGCGAGAAGTCAGCATGCCGTATAAATTAAAACTATATTTTCGAAGGGCTTGCGTTAAAACGAAAAAATATTTGTTAGTGAATTTAAACAAACAGAGGTTAGGCTAAGGGCCTACAAGGTAGACTGTTTTTGTTTTGACACTAAAAGCGCTCAATACTTGGTCAAGTCCTGCGCACTTGGCATGTACTTACGGGAGGAAATTGACTTCATTTTGGACAGAGCGTTAATATCTCCTATCAGCGTGGTGCAAAGATTTTTATTATGTCTTAAAACTGCATTATTCTCGGGTTACATGATCATCTCCTGCTGTAAGTTAACTGTTCGGACAACACCCCCGAATCGACGTATTATATAGTAGGCATTAAAAAAAACAAGGCTAACACAGCTTATGCGGGCTGTTGCACCTCAATCAAACAAGTAAAGTTCAAATAATTATGCTACCTCTCAGTTGGACAGTGCGTTACCGAGAGAAATATCCAGTTCAAATAAGGAGTTTCTGGCGTTACCAATTATTGCGTCCGTATGCATCTTCACAAGCCGCAATTAAAGAGTAACAGCTAAATTAATCGGATATGTTAATGATTACATATTAAGCTACAACAAACAGTATCACTTACGTTTGGAGAAGATACACCATAAAATTAGTGTTTTACTAGAGTGAAATGTTGGCGAATATTTCAAAACTATTGCGATCCGTCTCAAGGTCGTTGAGGATGACGGCCCCATGGCCCGCGTGTTTCTGTTTCGGCGACTCCTTGACGCAGGTTTGACCTATATATCAATTATTTCCTTAGCGCGGCTGGGACGACGAAGGGTATTGGCTTGGAAGTCTGTCCTCTCATTTTCAGAGGTAAATTGTAACGTATGTTAAAATTAATTGTAGTCATTTTGTTTGCTACCTTTTATTGAATAAAAGGATTAAGGATTAAGATCTTAATCCTGTGGGCACTTAAAGCCGCATGGATCAAGTCACTTTAACTGATGAACGCTTACTTTGAGCATTTATGTACGAAGGTCTTATATTATTTGCATTTAGCTAATATTTTCAATCCATTTACTGGGTTAATGTGGAAGTGTTTTCTGCGCATGGTTTGATTTCTATCCTACTTCCGCATCGTTTCAAGTTTGCGTCCAGTAGGACCACCATTCCTTCTTGTTAGGCTTTAAACGTAAGCGCAGACCGGCTTCTAGGCTGCACTGTTGAATTGCTAGAACGTTGCACTTCCAATCTGCTCAGTA